ACGCTGAGATTCCACTTCACTCCAGAAAGAATGGCTGCTATCATGAAATCAACCAATAGCAAATGCTGGCGGGGCTGTGGGGAAAGAGGAACCCTGCTCCACTGCTGGTGGGAGTGTAGACTGGTGCAAGCACTGTGGAAATCAGTATGGAGATACCTCAAAGAATTAGGACTGGAAGTCCCATTTGACCCTGCTATTCCACTGCTGGGGATCTTCCCCAAAGAATTAAAAGAATCATACCACAGTGATATATGTGCGCCCATGTTCATAGCAGCAGTTTGTAATAGCTAAAACTTGGAAACAGCCCAAATGCCCATCGACTGGAGACTGGATCAAGAAAATGTGGTTTTTTTATAAAATGGAGTACTACTCAGCCATAAAAAATGATAAATTAGAGACATTTATAGCTAAGTGGATGCACATTGAGGCGATACTTTTAAGTGAAATAAATAGGACACACATGAATAAATACCGAATAGTTTCTCTGGTGTGAGAAACTGAAAGTGTAAATAAGGACTAAATGTATAATAGGTAATGTGAAATAGGAAGAAAAGGGGCAAAGGACAAGGAAGTGGGAGGGCTAGGGGAAAGGATAGAGGGGAATGGGATTAATGTGAGAAAATGGAAAAATAGGAACAAAATCTTTGTGAATAGGGAGGAATGGAGGGGTTGAAGGGAGGGCTGGGCAAGGGTGAAAAACAAGAACCAAGAGAGACTATGTAAAGGTGCAAATTTCCAATGATGAATGTCATTATATTGTATACCTAAAATGTACCAATGATTAGAATGAATAATCGATAATGTAAAATAGGAAGAAAAGGTCCAAAGGGGTAGGGGTAGTGGGAGGGGCAGGGGAAAGGAAAGAAGGGAAAGGAAAAATGATGAGAAATGGAAAAAATGGAAATAAAGTCTTTGTAAATAGGGAAGGGTGGAGGGGGTGAAGGGAGGGCTAGGAATGAGGAAAAAATAAGAACCAAGATGCATTGTGTAAAGGTACAATTCCCAATGAGAAATGTAATTGTGTTGTATACCTACAATGTACCAATAAAAGAATTTAATTTAAAAAAATGATGGATGTTGAAATGAAAAAAAAAACCCTCAAATAAATGAAGGTACTTAAGGTTTGCTATTTTTTCAATCTTGCTTTTAATTATTGCCCCTTAAGAGTCTTCTCTAGACACTTTTTAACCTGATTGTTCTCCTTCCCAAACAATACTATATGCTGTATATCTACTTATATATTGTAATATCTGTTATGTTTTTACTCCCCAAGAAACAATTTTCACCCCTTTCAACATCCCCTCTCTTGAAAAGGCACGGGCTCAATTGTGGGAGGGCAGTCCACATGCATTCTGTAGTAACTGTCCATTTTCACTGCCAGGCTCCTTTTCCATATAATAAAGATAGGTGGTCAGGTCTCATTGGAGTATTTGTAAAATTCAATATTGCCCTGGATTTATTATTTCAAAGAAATGGTCATCTTATAAAGATTCTATTGGGATGTATTTAAACTGCTAACAAATGCTACAACTCAGTGTAAGAGTTTAGAAGAGGTTAAATGCTATTGAATAGGTATTTTGCTTCATAGTGTTAATTATGAATATAGGTAAAGGATATTTAACATAAAAAGTTACTCTCTATTTGGTCAATGTTTTCCTGATCTAAGTGAATAGTGGCAAATGTTTACTATTGCTGTTTTGTAACTTGTCACTTGAGGGCAGCAACAGGGTTTGGGAATCACAGAGGTGGAGAATGTAACTAGTTAAGACAGATAAAGTATTAAAGATTCTACCACATGATATTGAGAAAAAAAAGGGGATGACCTTGTGTTCACATGAATACCTGCACTATGCTACAGTGGAAGAAAACATTTACAAAACAGAACTAGTTGTAAGCTGTAATTATTCTCCAATATGTTTCTATTTCTAGTCTAGGTCCAGACTATTTATAGTTTTCAGAAGTAACCACTCAGAAATGAAGTCAACAGAAGAGCAGAGTATTTATCCTCACTGAGCCTCAGTTCCTCAGCTATAAAATGGGGTATTTGTTTATTTATTGAAGCAAAAACATTTACTGGTACATTTCAGATATATATAATGATCACATTCAGCATAGGGAATTTGTACCTGTAGATGATATATCATGCTTCTCTTCCCCCCCTCATTTCCCTCCCCTCCTTTCCACCCCTCTTTACCTCTTTATTTACAAAAGCTCTGTTTCCATTTTTTCCTTCTATTCTTTTTTTCTTTCTTGTCCCTTATTTTCTTTCTTTCTCCCTCCTTCCTTGTTCCCTTTCTCATTTGAGCATTTTCTTCCCATTTCCCAATATCTATTACACATTTTGGTCCTAATTTCCACTTTCAGTTTCTCACACCAGAGAAATAATTTGATATTTAAATGTGTGTTCAACTTATCTCACTTAAAAGTACTGTCTCAAGGTGCATTCCTTTAGCTAGAAATGTTTCAAGCTTATCCTTCTTTATGGCAGAGTAGTACTCCACGGTAAATAAAAAACTACATCTTCTTTATCCATTCATCAGTAAATGGGCATGTCGGATGTTTCCAAGATTTAGTTCTTACAAACTGTGCCACTATAAGCATGGGTGCACATACATTGCTGTGGTATGATGCTTCTAATTCTTTTGGGAAGATACAAAGAAGGGGAATAGCTGGGTCAAATGGAACCTCTAGTTTTAGTTTTTTTAGGAATCTCCACAGATTTCCACAGTGGTTGCACTAGTCTACACTCCCACCAACAATGGACAAGGGTTCCTTTTTTGAAATGGGGGCATATATTTACAAGGCTGAGATTAAATATGGTCTCAAGAAAAGGTAACTAATACTAATGGCCAAGCAAAAGTAATGGGCATTTCACAAAAGTGTGAAGAATGCTTAATCATTTCAGAGTTTCAGTAATCAAGGAAATTAAAAGTCCACAAGGAAATTCAATTTTGTACTTCAGTGATTGGCAAGAGATACATCAAAGGTGTTCTCTAGATTCAAGATCTAACTGGAAAAGTCCTAGAGTGTGGCTAGACATAGCTGTCATGTATTTTTTTTTTTTTTTTGGTACTGGGGATTCAACTCAGGACCTTGCCCTTGCAAGGCAGGTGGTGGAACCACTGAGCTAAATCCCCAACCCCATGTCATGTATTTTATATGTTCAGTTCATTCAGTCTTCTACATATAGAAGACTATAGATATAGCCTGTGTTACATGATGAGGAAATAAACACTGATTGAAACCAAATAGCCCTCAAAAGATACCATCCAACAGGAGGAAAAAGATGTTGTACAAATAATTACAGTATAAGATTGCATGAGATGAGTGAAATGAGAAGCAAAATGTACTACAGGAATTCAGAAGAGGGAGAGATTGAAGTCAGCTGGAGGGAACTCGCCAAAAGTTCACGAAAGGTAAGCATTTAAGTAAGTCTTGAAATGTGACAGGTAGAGATCAACGGGGAGAACTTTCCCACTTGAATGAATGATGTGAAGAAAGCAATGAAGTGCTGGCAAACTCCAAACATTCTAGGGGAATAGCTAATGCAGTTTGGTTTATTTAGAACACATAGTACATACATAGCTGGAGTTGAGAGACATTTGAAGAGGACAGGCAGCAACCAGTTATGAAAATCCAGGGAGACGAAGGAGACAGAGTTGTGATAGATACAAATGACATGGCTGTTCAGTTCTGTGCACAGTAACTAGTTCAAACCAGACAATTCGGCCAACTCTGGGCAGGCATTTGAAAGACATGAACAGTCTGCTTTCTTTTCTACTAGACATGTTTGGGAGGCCCAGAGAGGTTAAATAACATTCTTGTTCTTTCATTTTCCTACATATAAATAGGCCCATGACCACTGAACAAACAACAGAAAGAGAATACCTACGTTCAATAGCAGCCATATAAAAAAATAAGAAGCAGCTCTCAGCTTTTTTCTGATACAGAAAAAACCAGAAAAAGTTTCTCTTGTGTCTCAGCTACTTCAAGTGTCTTATTTAAGGGAGTGAGTGCTAGGGTGAATCTGTGATGGTAGCAAAGATATAATAATAATAAATGATGATGGGGCTGGAGTTGTAACTCAGGAGTAGAGCATGTGCTTAGCACATGGAAGGCTCTGCAATCACCAGAACCATATTAAAAAAAAGTGATGACAAATCCCTCATACTTTCCAAAGTGACACTATGGGTTTCCAATATATTTAAACCAGCATTGGAAAAAAAAATTAGTTCTAGATACTGATATTCAATAAATGAGCCTTGGTTTATTTAACAGATGTGTACAACTGGTGGTGGGCTGCTTGCTCTCTTCTTTAAAAAATTTTGTAATAACAAACATAAAAAATAAGTAAGTTTTATTACTCATACATATTAACTGTATTATCAATTTTACATATGGTCCAAGATAATTCTCCTTCATTCAATGTAGCCCAAGCAAGCCAAAAGGTTGGATGTGCCTAAAAGTGATTAGGTATTTAATACACTTAATCATGAAGTAAAAACATCAATACAACACTGATTCTTTCACATACACAGAAGTAGTTCAGAGTTTAAGTATTTGATTAGTTATCATCAATTCTGCACTCCAAAAACTCAATAGAAAGTATGTGACATTCCTCATCCAACTTTTAAATTAATTACATAACACACGAATGTGAGTGAACAAGCTGGCCACCATAGGAGAAGTCGTTGCTCTCTTATTCTATTCTCATGATAGTCTATTTTTCTAATATAATGGTTTGCATGTTCTCTTAATGGTCTGTGAGCTTCATAAGGGCAGAAACCATGTATTACATCTGCTTCTATCTTTATCACCTACAACAGTACCTGATACATAACTGAAATCCACATGTGTGTGTGCATGCACTAAAGGAAAACAAGTACTTAGAAAAGAACTGGCCTTGGAAAGAAAGTGAAAAACCTTTAACAGACAACTACCTCCCTGACAACAGAAACTTCATTACTGACTCAGAAAAATGTTATTTGAATAATTCTTACCTGGCGCGTCATTACAAAATATGCATACATGGCCATGGCACTTCCATAAGTGATGAAGTAGGTGACCGGCTCCATGATGTCCCAGGAATATTCCCACCAGGTGAGCCGGGCCAAAATGCCAAACTGTGTGGCCATGTAGGCAAGGCCACCCCATAGCACCAAAGTGGTCCTCTTCTCAGCTTTTCGGCTAATTTCGATTCGTACCTGATGGGCACATGTGTTTGAATTGTAAAGAATTTTGACATGGAACCAATTTGAAATTCTTACTTAGTTTTAAACTGTTCTAGGTCCACTAAAGAAATAGGGCTTATAATCAAGGCATACAGTAGGCTCACCTCTAGTAAATACTAACTTGTTTTCCAAAATAGTACTGGTAGTTTTCACTGAATAAAATTATCTTACAGGAACAACTAGTTTTTGTGTGTTTTATTAAAGTTTCACCCTAGAAGTTGGTGAAAGTATGGGAGTGAGTTTCAACGGCTTATCATCCAACCACAAGATCACCTTCCTTATGTTTGCTCACTCTGTGTACAAGATTTAATCTATTAGCAATTTTAACTCAAATGCTATATGCAGCAGAGTGAGTCAGGGCATGGATTCTGGATTAGGAGTAGCAGAGTTCAGGCCCCTCATCAGCAAAACACCTTTAACTTTAATTATTCTGAAGAAATCAGAAAATGTACAATATTCAAAGTATTTGTTATCTTTCTAAATTTTTAAATCTAATTTCTTAAAATGAAAATACAGTGAAGCACTGCATAATGGTGATTTGGTTATGATAGATTGCATATATGATGGTGGGCCCACAAGACATTAATGGAGCTGCCAAATTCCTATTACCTAGTGACAGTACAGCAGTTGTAATGCCATAGTACAACACATTATTCATGGGCTGTGATGGTGCTGGTATAAACAAACCCACCGCATTGTCAGTCATATAACAGTACAGCATATACAATCATGTATAGTACATGATACTTGATGATAATAAATGACTATGTCACTGGTTTATGTATTTACTAGACTATATTTTTTATTGTTATTTTAGAGTACACCTTCTATTTTGAAAGGTAACATGCCAGAAGCAGCCTTGTAAATCTCCTACTTACCACATCACATGTTTGGCAAATCAAGTGACTGGTCTATACCAGCGATGGTGAGCCTTTAGAGATGAATGCCAAAACTGCAACCCAAAACCCACTTATTTATCATCAAGTGCCAACGCTGCAATAAAACTTGAATACTGAGGTTTTAGTTTAGAAAAAAAAAAAAACCTCATACGTTAACATCTTTTGTCTTAAAAGAAAAATAACATGTGTGCCATAGGTTTGCCACCACTGGTCTATACCATCTAGGTTTGTGTAAGTACATTTTATGATGCTGTCATAACAAAATCACCCCAGAGACATATTTTTAAGAATGTATCTCTGTAATTATATGAAGCATAACTGTACTTCATATGTACAGTCATATAATGTATGTACATCATAAAAAATTAAAAGTATGACTGGGAATATAGCTCAGTGGTAGAAAACTTGTGTAGCATGCATGAGGTCCTCAGTTTGATCTCTAGCACCACCACAAAATTAAGGGTAACACATGTTCATTGCACAACATTTTGAAAAGTATAAAGCAGAAAAATTAATCATAATCCTTTTACTATAGTAGCATTTTGGAATCTATTCCTTCTGATTTTTTGTATGTAAGTATAAATATAAAAATGTGGACACCTATATGCATAACATACTTAAAAACTGGATTATAGTATACAATTATTTTAGAATTTACTTTCCATAATATATCATGAATATTTTCTACAGTAAATTAGATTTACATAAACATTTTAAAAGCTACATAATATTGCACATAATATTCACTCTTAACTTTGGCTAAAATCATTAGCCATTTTACTCAGAATCTTTCCTGATGAAGGGGCTAGGGATTTGGTTCAGTGGCATTGCGCCCGCCTCACAAGCACAAGGTCCTGAGTTCGATCCCCAGTACCCGAAAAAGAATCTTTCCTGTTGAGCAACTATTCCAATCTTTGTTTTAGAGATCGTAAATCTGCTTAAGGGGAGCATATTTAGGCCTCAGAACTCTAAGTCCATTATCAAGCCTTCAAATATTCCTTCTTATGTCCTTTCTTAGCTTAGAATGGAACTTTTTATGGCTGAGTCCTATAAACTATTGTCCAAATTTGACTGACATGACTCAATTATGTACGACTTAGAAGAAACAGAAACGTGTGCTCTAGAAGAAAGAGAAGTCTGAGACATGGATTTTCACCTTTTCCAGGGGAGCCAGCTGCTGTTTGAGATCCTCTAATCTCTCGATGAGCTCCCTTTCCTTGTTTAACTGGTGCTGTTCGATGCACAGTGTAGTGTACAGCTGCTGGACTAGTGTCTTCACGTCGTTCAGCGTTGCTGCATTTTCATGGCTTAAGAGGTCTGAAAGAAAGGAGTTATTTCATTTTTTGTTGTTGTTTTTTTTTTTGGTACTGGAGATTGAACTTGGGACCTTGTGCTTGTGAGGCAGGCGCTGAAACCACTGAGCTAAATCCCCGGCTCAGCGTTATTTAGTTTTTTAAAAGTATGTCTTAAATGAAGAGTAGGACTATTAGACAATGACAAGATTATAAGGTAGATCCTCCACTAGAGGAGTACTACCTTTAGGGTTAAACTGAAAGAGAGTAACAGTTTTTTAAAATTAATTGCCCCAAAATCTAGAACATAAATTCAGATTTGGGTAATACAACAAATTTGAAAGAAATACATTATATTCTTGGAAGTCTAAGTGATGTAAATGTGACTATGAATAAGGAAAATATTAAGAAAAAGAATGCAAATAATAATCTTCACGGCTAGGGTTTGTGTGGCTCAGCAGTAGAATGATTGCCCATCATAGGTAAGGCCCTGGATTTGACCCCAGCACTGAAAAAAAAAAAAAAATTAAAGACAAAAAATTAATTCAAATGTTAAAACTAGTAGAGAAGTTCAGAATCTGCTTATCATGCTTATTAAAATGTTGATCTAAAATATATTGTCATTTTAATTGATATTTTCCTTTAGAAACGCCTGAGGAAAACATACACAGTATTTCAAATTTGCAAAGACAAAGTTGTAAATAAAAATAGCATCATCTTAAAAATTTCACCCCCTATGCATCTTCTCCTGAGTTCACCAACTTGTATTCACTTCTGGTGAAGAAACACAAGAGACTCACTAGCCTCAATATCATACTCTCAAGGGCATAAAGTTATGGGAATGACCTGAAACACTAAAAGATTAAATTCTTTGATTCAATATTTCTTCTACTGTGAGTAGCATGTGTTTCCAGAAATCTAAAAATTACGTTCTGAGAATCTAATAAAAACTCAGCTGAGCTCAGCTATTAAAAAAAAAAGAGAGAGAGCGTAGACATAAAACTTTTTAGAATTTTATTAGCTTGAAGTGTGACATTTTGTTAGGTACAGCACAGGTCAAGCCTCTTCTAAATCAAAATAGGCCACAGTCGAGAATTAACCATATATTTCAAATATTCTTCAAGGAAGTCCAACTGTACAGTTATCCCAGAAATTCAATCAATGAAAATCTTCAAATAACGGTAGCAAAGTGGGTGAGAGAAGACCTGATTTAGTAGAACGAGATAGAGCATCTAGCGCAGTATCTTGCATGCTTTAGTAAATGTGTGCTGTGATGGGAACACCTAAAAGCAAGAACACTTTGAGTCCCAGAAGTCATCTATGTCAACAAATATTCTTTGTACAAAGTCACCAGAGAGGGAACCATACCCTGAAAGGTCAAAGTAACTGGCCCAGAATGTTGGCATGAAGTGACAGAGTCCTTGCCTCCTGACTCCCAGCTCAGGAGCTGAGTTACGATGCTTCTACAATAACAATCTTAATATTTCTCCTACAAGCTCACTCCCCTTTTGAAAACATAATTCCTGAAATAGGAATGGCTCATAAAACTCATAAATATTATTCCATGTTACTCTCAAGATAATTGTATGAGTAAGCTTGATGCCCACAATTTATAAATGATGAATTTGAATTCCAGAAAGATAAGATTAAGAAATATTTTTGTTCCTCGTACAGACCTTGTTACTAGAGGGGGGAAAAAATAAAATAAAAGGTTGTTGCCCTCCCTGATGAGATCTAGTAATGATATTCATAAAGTTGCAGAGCTGGTAGGGGCTGGGAAAGGATCTGGCTGGTCGTGCAGTGACTTACTTTTTCCATTTCAACTTTCAGTGCCATGATGACACTGTATTTGCTTAGGAAGGAAGGGAGGGAGGAAAGAAATAACCAACTTAAACAGAAGCTTCTCCTTTTCCAAGTAAGGCCTGGGCAGGTTAAAAATATCCAAATATATACGGACAACCATAATCTGAGGATCTATAAAATCTGAAACAAGCTCAGCATTTGTTTTACAAGAAAAGTAAGTTTCTATTCATTGGAGACTACTTAGATTAAAAATTAATTTTCATTGCTGGGCGTGGTGGCACTTGCTTAGAATCTTAGCTACTCAGGCAGAGGGTGAAGTACTTCAAGGTCAGCCAGAGAAACTTCTTGAAACCCTGTCTCAAAATAAAAAATAAAAAGAACTGGGGATGTAGATCAGTGTGAGGCTTTGGATTCAGTCTTCAGTATTTACCTTTCCCTACTCCCCAGATTAGTTCTCATGTTAGGGGTTCTACTGTGTAGAAAATTTATTTTATTTTATTATTTTTTTTGGTGTTGAGGATCGAACTCAGGACCTCATGCCTGCCAGGCAGGCACTATGCCACTGAGCTAAGTCCCCAGCCTGAAAATTTTTCTTTTTAATATTTATTTATTTATTTATTTATTTTGGTACCAGGGATCAAACTTGGGACCTTGCGCTTGCGAGGCAGGCAGTGGAACCACTGAGCTAAATCATTGGGTCAAAAATTTATTTTTTTATATCAATATTTTCTTTGGCTTCTGGGTTATAGTATAGTTAAAGTTCTTTCTCCAAGGTTGTAAACACACTTCTTTTTTGATTCTTTCAGTAACTTCAATATTTCTTTTTCTTCTGTAAGATTTAAGTTTTGATTCACAAACCCTTTGAGATAGCACTACTAGGTACTTATCCTACATATGCATGCAAGACTTCTTAACTAACATACATTCAAGGTTGCCTGATGTTGACACAAACTGTAGCAAAAGATGAAAACAACACAAAAGTCTGTAAATTATGAATAGGTAAGTAAAGGTAATGTACAGTCACAGAATGTATAACATAGCAGCTGTGAAAAAGAATTAATGATTCTTTATGCACTAATGTTAAGATCTTTACAATCTACTACAAGGTGAGAAAAATAGTTCGGTGGTTTTTATACCTTGTCAATCTGCTAAATTGATATTATGTTTCCCAGAATATCCTTTTATGTATTGTTCTGAATTAGGGCTAACTAAAAGAGAAATTCAGGTGAGATTTTGGAAGGCAGAAATGAAACAGAAGATGCCCTGAGGGATGTTGTGGTTAGTAGTAAAATAGAGGCAGAGCGGCCTGAGGAACCAGCTGGACCTGCTCTTCCAGCTCTTTAACTCAACTCTTTACTTCCCTGATTAACAGCAAACCTAGGTTCACAATCAGAGGCAGCCTTCTTAATGTCCTGTCCAATGTTATGGTAGTCACTGTCAAATGTTACTTATTTATAGATTTTTAACTAAGTAATTATTTGTCTTAAATTTACCATGTACATGCTGTTTTAAAATATGTATAAACTATAAAATGGCTAAATTGGGCTAATTAAATATATACCGTAGACCCTCAAGTTATGACCAGCTTTACATACAACTTGGATTAATTAGGTTAATGGAAGATTCATCTGCCTCTTGTTATCTATAGCATGTGCCCTGATAAACATACAGATCTCAGCTGTACTGACTTAGTTACAACCAGCCCTTGGGAACCAACTGAGTTTGTAAGTTAAGGGTCCACTGTATTACCTCACATACTTTTTTTTGTGGTAAGAACACAGTCTCTCAGCATTTCTTTTTTTTTTTTTTTTGAGACAGTCTCGCTATGCAATTCAGGCTGGCTTTGAACTCACTATGGAGCCTAGGCTGGCCTCAAACTTGTGATGATCCTCCTGCCTCAGCCTCCCAAGTGCCACAACACCTCTTAGCAATTTTCAAGAATATAATCCACTGTTGTTAACTATAGTCACCACCTTGTATAACAGATCTCTTGAAGTCATTCTTTCTGAAGGAAATGCTGCATCCTTTGACATTAACATTTCACAACCTCCTACATATTGCTAATTAAATTTAACAGAATGAGAAATTCAGTTCCCCAGGCACACTATCCACATTTTAAGTGCTCAATAGCCACATGTTATTAATGTCTATAAGTACAGTGCACAGGGAAGAAACATAACATTTTCAGTATCATGCTAAGTCCTATTTAACAGTGCTGAAGGATTTCTCAACCAGCATTCATCACTGTCCTACCCTAAAAATTGGATGGGCTTGGATTTCCACGTTCCCTGGCAAGCTTTTGATTTGTTCACCCATGCCACTGCTTCGAAATTATTGAGTTTTCACTGATCTTCTAAGCTCCCGGATTCTTACTTCTTTAGCTTCATCTACAATTGCACAAGGTCTAGTGCCCATAATAAATATTTTGTTCCATAACATTCTTGTGGTTGTCTCCCTAACTGTACCCTGACACAAAAAATATGTACAGTATGCTACTATTTGCATAAAAAGAGAAAAATATATATTCATATTTGCTTATGAATGTACAGACTATCCTGGCAGGAGACATAAGAAATGAAAGAGTGCTTGCTGATACAGAAGAAAAAGGATAGCTGGGGAATAGGGGATAAGAATAAGACTTTTCCCCAAAATTCTTTAAGACTTTAGAAGTAGACCTTATGAATATATTATCTATTCTAAAGTGAGAAAAATTAATGTGCAACCATAATATCTTCTAACATCAATGAACCCCCCCCCCCGAAAATAAAAAAGGACCACAGCAGATCTCATGGACATCCAATTTTAACCTGGCTAAATGTAAACAGTTCTTATCTTTCTGATTGTGTGTCAATAAAGCCGTAGGGGATTCTCAAGTCTAAACTTTATTTTGTTAGGTTTTCCTGATAAGAAGAATGTGGTTCTAAGGTACTGTCCTGGTGGAGGAATACAATAATCCTGAACTCTTGACCCTGAAAAATCTGCTCACATATTTGAGAGATGAAGTTATAGGAAGAGGGAAAATAAATCTGCTAATGGCTTAACAACAGCACTTTGGGATAACTGATGTATGCTTCACTAAAAAGCACTTACAAGTTTACTAGTATTTCTGTACATGCCATCAATGCCAGGATAATTAAGGTAGAGAAAGATAGGAGACATCCTAATGTAATGGGTATTGAAAATTCTTTTCAAGGTCCAAAGGGGTAGGGGTAGGGGCAGGGGAAAGGAAAGAAAGGAAGGGAAAAATGATGAGAAATGGAAATAAAGTCTTTGTAAATAGGGAAGGGTGGAGGGGGTGAAGGGAGGGCTAGGAATGGGGAAAAAATAAGAACCAAGATGCATTATGTAAAGGTACAATTCCCAATGAGAAATGTAATTGTATTGTATACCTAAAATGTACCAATAAAAGAACTTAACAAAAACAAAAAAAAGAAAAAAAGAAAATTCTTTTCAGCAACAAACATGGTTTGGGAAGGATTTTGGCTATCTGGGTCTCTAACAAGGTGATCACTATGGCTGGTGTTTGACTTGCCTGTTCAACCTCTCCTCTCAATTTATATCATTAAGAAGGAAGCAAAGTCTTCAATATTCTCTGGATAGATAAGCAAGGAACAGGGCTTTAGTGGTGCAAATCAAATGATTGTTCTTAGCAGAAAAAGATATTCTCCAGTGATAAGGTGAATATATTCTCTTTTTTTCTGAGAATAACAGAGAGGTAGTTAATTATTATTTCAACATGGATTGGGATAAAAAGGCTTCTTGTGCTTTCTACATTCCTCCCTCTATTCTGGATTTATTTATTATGAAGTCATCAAATTGAGAAAAGAGTTACTCCTCTTCTACAGTGAGTGCTCAGACAAGCACCCAGCTGCAGGTGGGTACAATTACTGAAAGAATGCGATGGAGTTTGCACCTAGCCTCTGTGTTCTGACATGTTTCCTTGTTCCAACTTTGGATACATGTCCTGTTGTTCTAAATTGCAGCTTAGGTACAGGGTGGTCAACACTTAAGGATCCACAACACCTACAGACTGCCAGTCCTGCATAAACATGGAACATGGCTATTCTGGACTCCATATGAATGAACCCTCTATCTTCAGGGCCTGGTGTAGGTGTCTAAAATTACAGCTCACACAACATTCATAAGGTATTTATAGTTCCAAAGTTCCCATAAACAGGGTAATGAAATAAGAAAAGTGTTAAGAGGGGCTAATGAATGAATAGAAAAGAAAGTTGTGCTAAAATTTAAAACCCTGGAAAAGACATGAACTACTTTAGCTCTTTAGATAAAGCAGGTGTGTTCTATCTTCCCCATGTATATATTAACCTTAGAACTACTCTTCATGATTTGACACTCAAACCCTTTTATACTGCCTTCTTCTTTCTTTCACTCATGGCCTTTTCTCTAATGAGATAGCAGGTAGGGAAGAGGAACTTGGCTGCTCACTGGAATGCACCATATCCCTCTCAAATAAGAAATTCAAACTGGGGCTGGGGATTTAGCTCGCAAGCCCAAGGTCCTGAGTTCGATCCCCAGTACCAAAAAAAAAAAATCACAGGAGCTCATTTTGGGCTGGGGATTTAACTCAACAGTTTTGCTGCCTGCTGCGCAAGCCCAAGTACCCGAGTTCAATCCCCGGTAACAAAAAAAAAAAAAAAAAAAAAAATGAAATTCAAACTGCTCTCTTATGGTAAAAAAAAAGTGGTGCTGCCTTGGATGCTAACAACACCTTCCTCATCCAAGGACAGGGAGATAATATGTTGCAAACAAAATTCAAGCCTATTTCATATTTTAAAAAAATATTTTCTTTACTTTAAAAATCAGAAAAAACAAAATGTAGACTTAATATTATTTCAGTTTCTGAAAGAGGATATCTAGGGGCACAATCTCTTGTTGGCTGATAACAGAACTAAGAGTATTTTGATGCATGAAATTAAATACTAAAAAGTCTTTAAAAATTCTACATAGCCGGGGATTTATCTCGGTGGTTCCGCCATCTGCCTCACAAGTGCAAGGTCCTGAGTTCGATCCCCAGTACCAAAAAAAAGAAAAGAGAAAAAACACAAAAAAACTTAGACCTTCATGCTGAACTTTTTCTATGTTGATCCAATTCTTCAAGGCAGGATGGAAAGGGGAGATTTCCTAGGAGCCTGACTGAGGGAGTAATGGTAGCGGAAGGGACATCAACAGCAGCAGTAAGTGACAATGAATATCAAGCACAAAGACAGAAAGCTGATCCAAAAAGATACAACTCAAAATGCTGCTTCACTGGATCCTGGGATCAAAAGAAAAATTTTAGTATTTTGCTGATCATGGATTTTCTTACACTAAATTTGTTTTTATTTTTAAAATAGTACATTAAATTGTGTATGCCTACAGTTCCAGCTACTCAGAAGACTGAGGCAGGAGGCTTGCTTAAGCCCAGAGTTCAAGCTCAGCCCTGGACAACATAGAGAGACACTGTCTCCAAAAAAAAAAAAAGCAGCACTAAATTGATTACTGAGTTCTTCGGTTCTTAAAATGTGCACTTCAGGCAAGCACCTTATTTTTCCCTGAGGCTTATTATTATACAGAGGGTCCCCAACTTAGAATTTTTTAACTGTACAATGGTGTGAAAGCAATCTGGGATCAGTAGAAAACACACTTTGAATTCTGATCCTTCCCTAGGCTACTGAGATGCAGTATGATGTACTCTTGTCATGCTGGGCAGTGGCTGTGAACTGCAGTTCCCAGTCAGACACATGACTGTGAGGATAAACAACCAATACCCTACAGTGTGCTGAGTTACTGGTTTTTAGATACTGTGTTGGTTTTTTTGCATCCCATCATGTCTATAAAATGCCTATTTGTGTGTGCACATGAGATATTCAACACTTTTTTTTTTTATAAAATAGGGTTTGTATGAGATGATTTTGCCCAATTTAAAGCTGCTGCTCTGAGCATGTTGTAAAGCTAAGCTAAGATGTAATGTTTGGTAGATTAGATGTATTAAATGCATTTTAAATTTACACTCGTTTCAATTTATGATGGGCTTATTAATCCCAATGTTAGCCAAGGAGCATCTCTATAATATTGACTTTCGGACTGCTGAATTTTGGCCATCAAAATAAGAAAAACAGGGCCGGGGATTTAGCTCAGTGGTTCCGTCACCTCCTTTGCAAGTGCAAAGACCTGAGTTCAATCCCTGGTACCAAAAAAAAAACAAAAACAAAACCCCAAATTAAAATCTGTTACAATGTTTGAGAAAAGAGGAAGCTCATTACTTATTTTTAAAAGATTTATCTTATATTACTATTATTATTTTTTGTGAATCAATCCCAGGGCCTTTCACATACCAGGCAGTGTTCTGCCACTGGGCTACTTCCCATTCATCTTGCATTATTGTAATTATTATTTGTGGTGCTGGTTTCTTCCAGGGTCTTGCACATGCTGGACCCTGCACATGCTCTACCACTGAGCTACGTCCCCAGACCTTTTGTATAATTTTAACATTATAAAAATAATATGAGGGCTGGGGATGTAGCTCAGTGGTTCAGCCACCTGCCTCACAAGCGCAAGGTCCTGATTTCAATCCCTGGTACCAAAAAAAATATATGAATTTTAGCTTGTATGGGAGGAAGATTAAGTTAAGCAGGACACTTATTTGTATGAATGCCAGATAATAAAACATTGCAGTATCTATAGACTCTTAAGTGGTCTAGACAAGTGCCATGTATTGAATGAGTTCTTCAAATGAAATAGTTTATTTGTAGGTAAAACTTTCCGTATCTTTGAATATTGTCTGTTTCTCAAATTTACCCAAGGGAAAAATACTGTTCCTTCCAACAGCCCTTTCCACATTTCTGTGAACTCATCAAGGCTCCTCTTTTACCTCTCTTTGGTGGCCGCACATGATACGTTAAGTCATTAATGACCAACTTGAAGTCATCAAGGAGGAGGAGGTCTATCCCTGTTGAGGCAGCAACTCGAACACCATCTGTGAAAAATTTTAAGTAAAACCTGTCATATGTCCATAATTATTCAAGAATAGTCAGAAAAAAGTAATCCTCAACATAGATTTTCTAAAATTACCCCTTCTTTTTCAAATTTCAGTTAACTTTTCATTTCATCCCCCAGTTTTATGCTGAACAAAGTTTAGATTATCTGGAGTTCTTTGTTTTTGAAAAGGCCTCAAGTCTGAAGATTTATCAAAATGCTTTTCTCTGCAACTGTATGAACAAGTGAACAAGTGAAATAATTACTGCTCATAGAATCGGGTAGCAGATGGAAATCTAAGGTTACCGGGAGAGCTGTACGGACTTAAGACTTGTCTGTAATGGAAGCTGGCTGAGTTTATAACAAAATGAAACAGTGTTTTCTAACATATGGTACTTTCCAGTATAGTCACTGATTAACTGCCAATTAATTCAGTAGGGACGGCCGCTAGAGTGAGCAAAGTACACCAAGCTTGTCTACTAAGTATATTTTGCATGAATTTGAAATACTTAAAGCACAGAAACAAATACTTAAAGGACAGAAATGTGGCAAGCATTGACAACTGGTGAATCCAGGTGAAGGGTAATAGGTACACAGTGTACTAGTCTTTCGAGTTTCCTGTAGGTTTGAATTTTTTTCAAAGTAAAAATGAAAAAATAAACTTAGGCACTTAAAAAATAAACAGATGTCACATCAAATGGGAATTTTTAGTGCCTGAGTTTATATTCTTTTCACATCATATACTCTACTTTGGTAATAATTTATGTGAAAAACCTAAGATCTAAAAGAAGTTCTGGCATTTTATATCTCTAGAGTTGAGGGCTCAGCGACTGGAAAAATTTATTCTACATATAAGGTAGTGATAAAAGGTCTCAATAGTATAAGATGCAATTGATTGCTTATCCTTGCCTGTGGAATTACATATGAGCAGCTTTTGAATGAGACTCCCTATGCATACACGTTTGCTAAAACTCAACAATTATATCCTGAGAACCACTGGGAGAGAAATCATTTTCTCTCCTAGATCTTGCTAAGTGAAAAAACATTTTCTAAAGTTAGCAGCATATTCTTTTGCAGTGACCTGTGTACATATGTGTGTGTGTGGGTGTGTGTGTGTATGTAGGTGTGTGTGTGTGTGTATCTGTCTATTTATTAATAGTTTGGGAGAAGTGAGAGGAAGGTGAGAATTAAAAATCAAGGTGACTGTACCTGGTGAATAGATTGCAACTCGATCAATTCCCCGATCCTCTTCTTGCAGCTGTCGTAAAAACACACCAACAGAGTCGGAGATGGGTTTGAGTATGAACTGGCAGCGTTCACGCCGGGATGGTAGCCTCACAGATATCACGGGTAGCCCATTTTGATAAACTACTGTCACATCTGAATGAAAAAGACCCACAAACATATGTTAGATTTTATTGAAAGTTAAAGCCATGGTATTACTATGTATTCTGGAGGTCTATTATTAGTAGTAGTGTGGCTTAAAATTTTTTTTAAGAAGGCTTAAAAATGCCCTTTTGCCTTAGTTGAAGCTTATTTTGGGAGCTGGCTTAGGGGAGAGCAAAGAGATTAAAAGAATTCATTGTTCAGATATGAAAAAATGGACAAGAAACTGCTCTGAATAGATGGAGGGGAGACTGTCTCAGGGGTACAATGCAGGGTTCTTGCTATTGATGAATACAAGTGCTGGTACCATTTGGCAAGATTTGACTGAGGAGCCACAGACTGCTGGCTTAGATGCCACAGCCTGGAGGAAGGGTCTCAGAATGCAGAGCTTTTGAAAATCCCCAGGGAATGGCATCTTCCTAAAGTACACCAGTGAAACTCTTACTCCAGGACAATTAACTCATATTTATAGTACAATATTATGTCCAACTTGCCTGATAGTTAAACATTCCATTATACAATATGGACACACTATGATATAATTAAAACCAATTCCTTTCTCTTGAACATCTTTCTGAGATTAGCTAAAAGCCAAATCTCAATTTTTGTGATTTTATCACAAAAATTCAGATTCCTTGAAGACATTTTCTTCATAGTTTCTTCCTCTCTGGATCTCTGTCCTCCAAATTTTAGCTGGGTTGCTGTTCACAAACTGATCTCTGTTTCTTTCTCTTTTTGTGCTGGAGCTTGGAAGCTACCCCAGAGTGTAAGCTGAGGCAAGGTAGGGGTCAACTCACATATTTCTCTTTTTCTGAAGATCACAGGAATGTGCTCCCTGTGGTCCAATGTCTGAATATGGTTATTTCAATATTTTGTCCATGTTTTTGTTTATAGCAGGACAGAAATTCTTATTACTTAATGGAAACATGATCTGAATCTTTACATAAAAATTAAAAGAACATCCAAAATCTCTATTCCCTTTTTCCTTCCAAAGGCATAGACTATGCTTCCCAAGAAAGAACAAGTCAAAATGACATGAACTAATTCATAGTGTTAGATCTAAAATTTGAAGCATTTAAACATATTTGAAAAATTTGTCACTTTTCTTTTCTAAGAGAATTCTTAGCAATCAATCCAATGTTCGGAGCCTCTGATATGTGAATATTTATGTCTCTTCTATAGGCAGTAATGTTGATTGGGTCATAAATTTAGATGATTAACTTATTCACCTGGTATTTTTAGTCCAATTATGTGTTTTCTGTATGTGGAAAAGATCATCATAGAGCTCCAGAAATACACAAGAATGAATTTAAATAAAAGATAGAAGTCTTTGTATTAAACACCTAACATTTCAAAGATTTCACTAAAACAGTTTCATAGGTAAGTGCTTAAGGGTTAACTGCTTTAAAATAACTGAGACAAAGTCAACAGAGAAAATGATGGTCTTGTGCATCCAGTTTAACTTCTCCCTTTAAAAAACATGAAGACTTTCAAAGGAATGAAATATGAAAGCTTGGAGCAACTCTGCATGGAATAATATATTTCCGAGCTGACAAATCTTTGTTATAATACTTTTTAAAAATAAACCTCCAGGTCCCTTTCTTTCCCACACACTAGATTATAATATAAATGTTAGGTTTCTTAGTTTGCAACCAAAGAAGAACAATTACCAAAATTCCTCAAATTTAACAATATATAAAATAAATGGCTGGTTAACGTGACCGGTCACAGTGGGCATTTACCATAATGACCACTGTCTGCTACTATTCTCTAGAGATAAATATTTTTGTAAAGTGTAAATTACATTCAGTGGCTCTTTGATTAGAATTTTTGACCTTTTGTTTTTATGTCCCTACCAATAAAATAAGAAATAAACTAAATAAGTTTATCAACAGTGTGCTTCAAAGAAACTTAGAAGTTATAGGGGATCTGACATGAACACTGGGAGCCAAAATGTGACAAATGGATTTTGCATCAAAACAAAAGGTCATGGAATTGTGCAGACTAAGAAAAATAGTTGCAGAAACTACAAACATTTGGGATTAAGGAATTCATTTTTTTAAAATGCCTTTGGCACCAGTAAAAGAAAGATGCTATCAGTTGAGTACAGCCTGAGGGGCCAGAACGTACCCACCCTGCTCAGACCCCATGAGTGGCCTTGGTATGGGGCAGGCTGCACCTCCTTATTCTATCCATGGAAATCTTTAGTAAAAGGCAAAAGATTTATATGATCTGAAGAAAAATCAGAGTACACTTCCTTATTTTGGTGTGATCTGAATGAAATGGAGTGGACTTTGGGACCTGGGGCCCAAGGCCAAGAATAACTTACGTAAACTAAGAACTATTCCTTAAAAATCTGGAAGAGGTATAGCACAAAAAAACCAGAGAGGAATATCTTGGACAAATGGTTTGGCATAGCATGCTCAGCTGGAGTGGTGTAGGAGCAGACACACTGAGAGTGATCCCACACTGAGTAGGCTGAATAGGTGCTGAATACCAAAAACATAACTAAAGCCAAGGTCACATCATAGGAGACATGCACTAACTAACGAGATCTCCACAGGAGTGACAGAGTTCTCTATCCTAACTGATCTATAGCCCTCAACACAGAAACACTAGAAATATAAGAAAACAAAACATCAAAGGCCTCCCCAGGAGCTACTTTCAATTGGAATGGAAGGGAAGGAATTTCCAGATAAATAATAAAACATGAGTAGTTAAAATGTTTGAAGAGATCAAAGAAGACACAAATAGATTCATGAAGAAATTATTAAGATGTTCAATGAGCTCAGAGAGTGTAAATAAGCAGATAAAAGGATTTAATTAATAAGCTGATAAATGAGCTTAAAGATAATACTAATAAACAGCTGAGTGATTAAAGAAGACAATGTAGGATATGAATGACCACTTTAGTAAAGAATTACAGATTAGGGCTGGGGATTTAGCTTCGTGGTTCTGCTGCCTGCTTCGCAAGTGCAAAGACCCAAGTTTAGATCCCTGGTACCAAAAAAAAAAAAAAGAAATTACAGATTATAGAAACAAATCCAGCAGAAATCTTGGAAATAAAAATTACAATGGAAAATCATACTAATAGACGTGGTCAATCAGAGGAGAGAATATTAGAACTCAAGAATGAAGTAGTATCCAGTCAGTGACAACTCTCAAAACAAGAAACAACAAGAGGTTGGCTCAAAAGTTCCTAGAGGACTCTAAAAGAAGGAACTTAAAAAGTATCAGTGTCAAAGAAGGTTAGAAAGAACTAGAGGTATAAAGAAAGTATTCACTGAAATCATTACAGAAAACTTTGGTCAGATGTTTTTAAAATGCTTGTATAAAACGTCAAGAAGGTTTGGATAGTGTTCAAAATAATGAGTAGGGCTGGGATTTAGCTCAGTGGTTCTCTCATTTGCCTCGCCAGCGCAAGGACCTGAGTTCAATCCCTGGTGCCAAAGAAAGAATAAAATCTCCACTAAAATGTATCACTTTATGAACATTATTACATCTTGAAGACATTATGAAAGGAGACTGTTAAAATAAGGAAGTGCATGTGGAGAGTTACCTGTAAAACTACATGGAACAGAACTTTATATGATAGAAGACTGCAGTGACTTATAATCTTGCTATTGTCTCTTTCTCCACAGCCCCACCCTTTGGTAATATTCTGCATCAAAAATGTAAGATATAATCACACAGTTTTAGTGCTAAAGGCCAGCAAAATAATACTTTTTTTTCCTTTTTACAGCTAAGAATGACAAAGTCCAACAAGGTTAGATAATATTTCTAAATCACACAGTTCTAGCTAATGTAATTTGGTTCTTCTCATTTGACTAGAAAATCATTTCTGTTAGGTCACATATGATTTTAGCTTTGGGAATTTTAGCTTTTAACTTGCTATTTTAGCTGCACCCAATGATGTTAACTATTCTCTCACTTTGTAAAAAGAGTTCCCTTTGGTGTCTATGATACTGCACTTTCCTTGTTCTTCCACTTTTCTGTCTAGACCTTCTAATTGCCTTTATAGGCTACATATTCTCCCTCTATCCCTTTAAAGTTTCTAAGTGCTTTGTCCTAGGCCTCTGTACCTTTCAATCACGTTCTATATAGGTAATCTCATATCTTCCAAGGTATCAACAACCATGTAATACTGGTGATAACCCAGAGCTATATTCAATTGTCTGCGGGACAATTGGGTTTCCTACAGGCATACCTCAAACTCAAAAACCCTAAGACTGAATTCATTTTCTCCTAACCATCCATAATCTCAATGAATAACACTACTGATGTTTAACCTCTGCCTAAGCCAGAAAATGACCTAGTATCTTTGATTATTCTTACAATCCCAACCTGACATACCTCAAGTCTAATCAGTCTTCACATCTTTTCTTCTATTTTAAAAAATATCTGAAATCCCTCTAGCTCTTTATACTACGATTGTTTTAGCCTAGGCCACCATTACCTCTTTCTTCTATCAACTACATTGTAATTAGAGTCCTTACTTCACTCCAGCACATTGCTCTGGTTCAATTAACCACACTGATACAGGGTAGTCTTTCTTTTTCCAAAGGAAATGACTATCCTGAAGTTGTTGGTGTTTATCATTCCTATCCATGATATACACATAAAAACACACATGTAGGCAGGCACACATACATGCACACAACCTCAATGAACAATAGTGTTGGGATAGCTTGCTTCTAAAATGGCTTTCTATGATGGTTCTTTTGTCATTAATGTTCATGGCCTTGTGTGGTCACATTCCACATCAAGCAGGGCTGGTTTGTACAATCATTAGAAACAGGAGAAGTGAAGATGTGTAACTTTGAAGGTATGTCACAAGACTTTGTGGCTTCTGCCCCACACTCTTGGCTTATGTTATCTGTTCTGGGGAAATCCAGTCATCATAATAATCCTGCAGTCCTATGGAGAAGCCTGCATGAAGAACTGATGCCCGGCCCCTGCCAAAGGCCAGCTCTAATTTGTCAGGAACAATAGTG